GCAGAGATCGGGCTCCTCGGCGGCCACAGATGGCAGCTCCCTCCCCTTTCAGCTGCTATAGGCTGGGAGGGAGGCTGCACCCGATTGGCTGGCAGGATAGGTATGCTGAGCAGGACCTAAAGACAGGAGACAGCATGAGGCGGTTGAAGGCATAGCCTCAGAAGATGCAGGCAACTTCACTGCCCCCCCCCCCGCCCCCCAGGAGAGGAAGAGAAGTGGACACAGCACCTGAAGAAGGAAAAGTGTCACTGTAAGTACCTGTTCTTTCTGTGTGACCTCCGCACTGCGTACATACTGACTTCTACATTACACCGCCGGCCTCTGCACTGCGCACATACTGACCTCCGACCGCAACATTGCACCGCCGGCCTCTGCACTGCGTACATACTGACCTCCGACTTCTATATTACACCGCCGGCCTCTGCACTGCGTACATACTGACCTCCAACTTCTACATTACACTGCCGGCCTCTGCACTGCGTACATACTGACCTCCGACCTCTACATTACACCACCGGCCTCTGCACTGCATACATGCTGACCTCCCACCTCTACATTACACCGCCGGCCTCTGCACTGGGTGCATGCTGACCACTGACCTCTACATTACACCGCTGGCCTCTGCACTGAACAAATGCTGACCTCTACATTACACTGCTGGCCTCTGAACTGCATACATGCTGACCTCTACATTACACCACTGGCCTCTGCCCTGCATACTTGCTGACCTCTACATTACATCGCTGGCCTCTGCACTGCATACATGCTGACCTCTGCATTACACCGCTGGCCTTTGCACTGCATACATGCTGACCGCTACATTACACCGCTAGCCTCTGCACTGCATGCATGCTGACCTCTACATTACACCGCTGATCTCTGCACTGCGTACATACTGATCTCTGACCTACATTACACTGCTGGCCTCTGCACTACATACATGCTGACATCTACATTACACTGCTGGCCTCTGCAATGCATACATGCTGACCTCTACATTACACAGCTGACCTCTGCACTGTGCGTTATTGCTGATCTCTGCACTGTGTGTCACACCGCTGACTTCTGCACTCTGCATTACACTGACACTCTGAGTTAGTGGCAGAACTACCAGGGTTGCAGCGCTCTTGTAGCACACTGACGAGGCATGCCTCCACTACCAGTGTGCTTTAATTTTCCTCAACCCATAAATTTCTCTACCATGTCATGCAGAAAGGGGGTCATGAAAACAGCTGATTCGGATGGCTCGGCCCCACCATAAGTGACGCGTTCGAGAAAATGTATAGGGTCGAGAAAAGCTCACAGCCCAGCCCAGAAGCATGGACAGCCAGCGGTGGTCTACAGTGGGTGAGAGTGCCTAAGTAGCAGACATGGAGCGGAGTAAGGCCAGAACCATGTAGGGAGCCCAGTGGGAGGAGAGCACCATCCCCTACCCAGTCATCCCTAGGAGTCCTCACATCCCCCGACCATTCACACTAACATTACATGCACGGCAAAAGTAGCAGACAGGGGCGGGGAGAAGGCGGGGAAGAGGCAGATAGGGAGGGGGGGGGGGCGCGTCCCTGCACCATGGGCCTCTGGGTTGTACTTACCCCCTGGGCTAAAAGTTGCCAGTCAGCCCCTGATTTACATTTTGATTAAAAGCTGATTGTTGCCCCTCCTGTTCCCTTACAAAATGGTTAAATATTGTCTATGGAATCATTTAAATATTCCTGTTAAATATATACACTTAAAGTGGATTTTTGGGCTGTAAAACCGCATGTGGTGTGTCGTTTTCAAAATGTGGCCTACAAGAGATTGTTAAAATACTGTCTATGCAGTCTATACAATATTCCTTCATCTTCTCCTGAAAATCTGCATGAGGTATGTGTTTTAGCAAATGAGGCCTACAACGTTTTTTTTTAATTGATGCCTATGCAGTGAACAACTATCCCTTCCATTTTAATGCCAAAATATACAGTTTATTATTTTTTTTATCCACAAAAATGTAATGAGGGATGTGGTTTAGCCAATGCGACCTCTAGGATATTAGCATGTGCTTTAGCAAATAAGCCTACAAAGGATTGCTGAAGTAATACCTATGTAGTTTGCATAATATTTCTTCAGTTTTTAGTAAAAAGTAAAACCTGCCTTATCTCTCCTTCTTCAATTGCAACCTTGCAAAACTGCTTACATAATGTGCAGTGAGTCTATGCAATATTTCTGGATCTTGTCTCTAACATAATGCACTTTCATTTTGTATTTCACTATAAATCCTAACTAGTTTCTCTCTCTTTTGTTGTAGTAAAACTGATTACATAATGTGCAGCAAGTCTGTAGAGTATTTCTGGTTGCTGTCTCTGAAATAATGGACTCTAATTTTTATTTCATGGAAAAAGTCTTGTCTTTTCCTCTTATATTGCAACCCAATCGAGTTTACATATTCTCCAGCTACTGTGCTATAAGTCTGGGTATTGTCTGTAAAATATGGCACCTTGATTTTATTTGGCATAACAACTCCCTTGTCTTTGGAGGGTTGTGGAAATAATGTCAATTAAATCAATGTTTTGAGATGTTATTACACTTTATAGACAATGTACTGCACAAAAAAAAGATCACAAGCTATAAAGGGAAACCTTTTTTGTCACTGTTTGGCAACTAGTAAGAAGTTGGAAGTGTAAACCTTTCCATAGCTTTTAGTTCTGTTGCTGCTTCTGCTTTCCCTGCTTAAATCTGGCCTTTGCTGCCTGATAAAAAAAAGTCAGATGTCAAAGCAAAAGCTACTTAAAAAGTACAAAGTAGCATAAACTATTGCGCATGATAAATATTTGATGCCAGAATACAGTGTCACTGATGCTCTGTGAGAACTGTTCCATAGCAGCTTAAAGACGTCATCTAAGCATGTAATTTAAATGACTGGTGTTTTTCCATGTTGCCCTCAAAGCCACATAAAAAAGGGCCATCTACCCCTCTGAACTTAACTAGTACTTAGAATAGTTTTTTACATTGATACATGTCCCCATGGCAGTTCCCAGCTACCCTTGCCCTTTGTTTGACAATCCGTAGCCTATTAGCCTTGAAAGTAGCCAGAATTAACAGATTCACTTCATACTGACTGAAGTGGGGTTTGGAGCAAAGTTCACAATTTCTGGAATTTGACGAAAACCAGGTGAATCAAACCCAGGCATATTCACTTATCCCTATGATGACCAACGATAAACATTTCTTCACTCAGCTTGACCACATGAAAACAGAAATAATTACAACAGCTAATAGACAGTATATAGTCTAAAAATAATAGGAGGAAGTTATCTTTACTGCCCTGTATCCAAAACAGCCATTAGGAAAATACAGATTAAAGATGTACTATATGCTCCTACTCTTCCAAGTAACCTACTGTCAGTGTTCACCAAGCAGGTAAATGCACCGACCTTCAAAAGTAACAAAAGTGTTATCACAAAAGTAAGCCACAGACTAACTAAAGGAAAAATCACCCATGATCAGTCTTAGCTGAATTGCAATTAAGTGGTTAACACTGTCAAAGAGGAAAAGCATTTGAACTATACCCACACCTGGCACTCTCATCTTGGACACAAGAATCCTGAAACAATAAAGAAGTCAGCTGAAGATCATCATGCCAGGGGCATAAAAATTTACCAGTGCAGTCAAATAAAAATGTGTACCACCTCCATAAAGAAAAAAAGGCAAGATGACCCTTTCCCAAACTTAGCAGTATTAGAGCCTGAAAGTCCCTGGACTGAAATCACTCAGATTCATGCAGTCCCATGAAAGCTCAAACTCTAGGAAAGAAAAGTTATTTTCTCACATGCATTGATGACTACATAAGGTACGTTGTGTTCTACCTGGACCCTACCTGGAAAAGCAACAGAGATAACTTCATTTGAGTTATGGATTGAAGGAAATCTTAACTAAAAACCTAATAATTGTTTGGGTAGCCTAGCATCTGTACATGCTCCTAAACAAAAGCATACAAAATGTTCGCAAAATGGCTAGCAAATTTGTGCTAAGGAAAGTACATATATGGTCTGCACAGAGTCTAAAAGAATTGAACACTTTTGTGTCTGAGCAACTTCCTGAAAATAAGCCTCCCCAGTACTGCTGGAAAGAAACACAGCATCACTGAAATTGAAATTGACATCCGTGATTTATCCACCTAAAAGAAGGAACTTGCATCCTAACATTCAAAGTGGATGCAAACTCTAACTGGATAACATTTTGTTTGCTAATGCACTGTGTATTATAAGGACCCTAAGAAATACATTTAAGCCACTGCAGGAAATCAATCATTGTTTAGGCTGCGCTTCCTGATGGTAGCAATGGTGGAACAGGAGGGAAAATCTGCAGGAGCCAGAGTGTGGCACTCACAATTCACTGTTTGCTGTTGCATTACTTCGCTGGCTCCAATGCAAAAAAAGTTACAGATGCACATATTTTCTTTGATGGATATGTGTTCATTTTTTTTTTTTTTTAAGGTGGACTATGCCTTTAAGTTGACAGCACAATATAGGACACATACTGCACAGATGTTCAGCTCATTCTTTTGTTATACTGAATTTTTCAATTTATAAAAAGACAATTGTTATGTCTGCATATGAGACCCAAGGCAAAGGTTTCTCAGTCAATAATAAGGCTGAGGTCTGCTTTATAGCCATGCAAGTAGCTTTAGCTGCAATTATTTTCTGCACAACACGCTGAGGATATGCCAAACTGAACAATTTTGTGCACATCATAATTCCTGTACCAGTTGGTTTCAGGAGACCTTTGTATAACTTTCTTTTAATGAGTACAATACACAAAATGGACTCAACCCTCATTTTATCTCAGTTCTTAGATCAGCATATCAACTGTCAACTCAGATAGTAAGTGTGTACTCATTTCTTTACTCAATTGCAAACAACGCACTTTGGGTTGTTCCTTTAGCAAATACAGATTTTGTATATAAATATAAAATGGGCTATACTTTGCTCTATCAATTTTTCTGATCCAAACAAGGCTGTACAATGAAATTCCTGGTGAGAATAGTTTGTTCTTTTATCACAGACTGAAAACTTGATGAAGGTACGGTGTACAGTAACCCTTTTCTTTGTCTCCACTCATAGGCTGCTGCCGTCTTGGGAGTCCTCCTGACTCTGTCACTAGCCAATGATGTAAGTAAATAGATTTTTTTTGTAATCTGTATTTGGTTTGAATAACTATGTGGTTGCTTTTAAGGAAACTGTGTATGTGAAGGTTAAAGAATTAGTAGAATGTTATTGGTAACCAAACAAGGTAGATACAACCAAAACTCTTCTTGAATGTAGCAATCAAGTATGGTCACAGACATGCAGAAGATGGCATGGCCAAAAATGGTAGGAATGATCTGCCCTTTGCTGATATGATCATTGCACCGCCAATGTTTTTATACCTCTTTGAAAAATTAAATTTTGAAGCAAGGGCATTAAAATTGTAGTTCTAACTTTAGCAGGAAAAGGGACTTATCATTTGATGTGATGCCAATTTTCAATAAAATCTTAAAACTCATGAAGCCCCTTGAAGAACAAAAAACCTGCATAATACTAACCATTCTCTAAAGACAGAGAGTTTACAACTGGTGTGTGTTATAATAAGCATTTTTTACAGATTGCGCATCTCCTAACTCTTGCATCTTTTTTTATGAGGAGAGGCGCATACCTTTGGAAAATTGCCCCATTTTGGGATACCTACCTCTGTTGTCACTGAGGTCAACAATGTTCACTTCCAGAAAATGTCTTTTAAATTAAAAAAGCAGCTCTTTTATTTGAAACAAGTATAAAAACCACAGCTTGGGAAAGGCCTTGTTATCAGCTAAAAACATAATTGTGGATTGCAGGAGCTGTTTTAACGTTTTTAACTTTCTTGAAGTAAAAAGAAAAGTTGTTATGCTTTAAAAGTCGTGTGTGCGGATGACATTGTTATGGAAGTAGCTAATATTTGCATAGTAACCCAGTAAGGACCCAGATTTTGAAGGAAATGTGACTTATCAATATAAACTGGCCCATCAAAATGCAGAGTGTATTTGAATTTTGGGACGCAACACAAATACTGCATTTACGATATATTGTTAACCAAAAGATATTACTTTAATCATTGCTGTGTTCTATTACTGTTCTATTCTATTACTGTAAAGTCCATTTTCACCTTTTTGACAAATTTAATACAACAAAGTTGGTGATTTCAGTGCTAGTATTCATTATTTCTCTTATACACATAGACCTGTACAGGTTCTGTTGCCCAAGTTTTGGGTGTCGTTATGGGGAAATATAAATAGCTCCTATTCAAACTAGTGACAAACCACAATGTAAAAATACCCTTGTGTATAAACTCTCTTCCTCTTTGGTTAAAATCTCGATCAACACAAACCTTTCACAAGACTAACAGGGCTATTCACAAAAGGGTGAAGAGTTTGGAGAAGGCAGGAGAAGTGAACAATCTAGGACAAAATAGATGATTTGGGAACATTCTCCAATTCAGCTCACTTTCCAGTTCAGCTTTGTTGTCCTAGATTGTTCACTTCTCCTGCCTTCTCCAAACCATTTTGTGAATAACCCTGTAAGACTCAGAAAAGAAGGAAGAGTTGAAAATCAGTAGCAGTATACCATATTTTCTACCAAAGTGTGTGGACTGCATTTGGCGGTTTGCAGTGAATTAAAGGGTACCGTTAATGTGGAGATGGTTATCAGTGAGAATATCTACTGAGTGCTGCCAGAGGATTATTTCATAGCTGTTCCTTTGGGTTCTTTGTGACAGCCAGAAAGAAAACAGCATGTTCCACATTCAAATTTGGAATACTAGTGACTTTTCAGGCATAAAGGAACAAAGCAAGAAGTAAATTTAACTTACAAAGTTGATTATTTCAGTGGGCTTCATAAAAACCGTTATTAGTATATGTCCAAGATTTAAAGGGTCCCTGGTTATTTACTGAATCTGTAAATGATGATGCTGGGTAGGAGGTCACTTTTCTCATTGTGTGAATACTTATTCCTGGTTACTGAAAGTTGGCAGAACAGCATTGCAAGCAGGAAAATACCAATTTGTAAAGTAAATTGGAGGTGTTGCTGTCATGGCAGGTTTACTTTAATTATTAAAGTGTATTTGGAGGCAAAATCTTTTTTAGTTTCAAGATAGTAGGGTTTTATAGATGTCTGTGTCCCCCACTAGGAGATTCAGTCCTTTGTTTGTCCTGGTGATCATTGTCACAAAGAGAGAAAATTAGAGGAAATCCAAAACTTGAGAACTGAGGAAAAAGATGGGGATTCAGTTTAATTTAAACAGATCTCCTGTTGAGTCTTATACGACAAGAAGTGAAGAAAGCCTGATAGGGGTTTTACCCATTCCTTTCTCTCTAAAGTTTTGGCTTTACATACCCTTATCGAGATACATTTCTGAGTTTCTCATTAGCGATTTCCAGTTGCAGTGGAAATTATATCTAAGCTTTGGACCCAGCATGCAATAAAATAGAAGGACCCTTACTTACTGCAGCCTTATTGTTAACAGCTTATATTCCCACTGCTATTTACAGTGATTTTCAGACTGATGACACATGCAATGGCTCTATTGGTGTAACATTGCAATTATATGTAACAGTAATATGCTGATGAAAGCAGAAAATGTGGTTAACAGCGTAGGAGAGTGCTATTTGCTGATGTAAATTGCTTTATTTGTATATATATATATATACATACATATATATACACTGGGTGGCCAGATTATTATGACCACCCCATCAATACTTCGTTGGGCCATGAGATAACTCCACGAGATGACTTCGTTGGGCCGCCTCGTGACTCCACGAGATGTTGAAAGGTGATGCGAGGAATCTGACACTGCACTGTTGCCCTTCTGTTGTCTTGTACCAGTCTTGCCACTCTCCGTTCTGCCCTAACATTGACTAGTCACTGACGGCCACAATTCGCACGTTCAGACCCAGATTTTCGTCTGACAGTCCAGTCTTTAAACACTTTAACAATGAGCCCCTCTTGAACATTTAACAAATTCTGCTGTTTTGCTGATACACGCTCCATGGCTCGCACCAACGATCATCCCACGCTCAAAGGCTGTTAAATTGCATTGTTTACCCATATCTTTAACAAAAATCACTTCTACTGTCGTGGTAAACAACCTGCTCCCTATTTATAATGGTCTGGCCCTCTAGCAACTTCAGCGCAAAATTATAGCTAATTATAGCTAATTTGCCTACAAACGTCAGGTGGTCATAATAAACTGGCCACTCAGTGTATATATATATATATATACATATATATATGTATATATATATTATGCTTTATTGATACATTATACATGCTTTAATAACCTGTACTTCATGTGTCCTTTATTGTTCTTATCAGAATGTCGATGTCAACAATTCTGGTAATGATGGTGGCAATGTAAATCAGCAAGTCAACATTAACAATCAGGACAGGATTGCCAATATCAATAGATTTAATGGCTGGGACTCCTGGGATTCCATCTGTGACTATGGCAATGTAAGTGTTCTGCCTGCTATTATTCATCTGGGAACATTAAACCTTCCTCGTCTTCTGAATGCTTAGCCCTATTGATAATAGATGTTAGGTAGTACATAAATCTGTGAACAAAATAGAAATATAAATGACCCCAAACAATGTGACAGCACCACTGCTTACTTTGCTGTTAGTCAAATGTTATTGATCCCCATGCAGTCTAAAGAGAAAATAAATCAGTGGCTGGTCTAACTTCTTAGAACTGTTGTTTTACTGCAGCCCTGTTGCCCCTTCAAATAGTGAATTTGCATTGTTTTCACATGCACACAGTCAGCCCTGTCCTATAGACATTCAGTTAAAGAGATGCAAGGTAAGAGCTTATGTACACAGGCTTCAGACTCCAAAATCAAAAGCAGTATGTGTTGCTTTGACTCCCAATGGAGTTGTATTAATCTACTTTTGACTTACTTTTGAGATACTTATGTTTTCTTATATGTTTTCTTTCTTATTTCTTATGTTTTCTATCTGGTTTTGAGGTTTTTTTTTTAAAGCTGCTTCAATTTGGGTTTGCATTCACATTGATTTATATGAGAAAGGAAAGCAATTCAGAAGCAGTCAAATGCTGTTTATAGGGCAACTAAAATCTCTTAAAGATTGAAGGGAGGGGAGATATTTGTCTATCATCAAGGATCCTCATGACATTGAAGCACCAGGACCCACTTCCCTTCTCAATTAACAGTAGCATAATGCTCTTTAAAATGTACAAGTGCTCCAAAGCAGAGGGTAAGATTGGGCCCAGCTGACAAGGAGATACAAATGGCAAAATATTCAACAAGCTGGATAATCAACCTTTATCAGGGCCCGGATTAAGAGCATCATGGGTCTGGTGCTGTTGGTCGGACGGACAGGAAGCAGCAGAGATGGCTCTCTAATTAGTCAACAGTGTCCAAGTCCCATCTCACTCCTGACCAAAAAGAGATTCCCACTGGTTAATAAATGTCAATAAATAGGATTTGACGTTCAGGACTTTGGAGTGCCGGTGAATTCTTCATGTCTCCATTTAGTCAGTCGCTCTCTACTAGCCGCCGCCTAATATGCCTTGTTAGAGAACCGCAGGTGCCTCTGCCTGATTGTGTTAATACCGAGGCAATCCGGGCTGGCCGGGCCTATTTTTAGTGGTGGGCCTGGAACTGGCACTCCAGTAGCTCCGATGTTAATCCAGCCCTGCCCTTTATAGTAATGAGCACCTCCAGCTGCTGGAACACTTGCTATCAACCAAGTGATGTTCTTTATTGTGCTATTTGTAGCAAACCTCAACCATAACCATTATATAGCACTACAAAGCAGGAAGAAGATCTCATATAAACCTTACAATAAGTATGTAACATGGCACAAGATTTCTGCTGGTACCTAAGACTTCTATTTCACTACAGGGATTTGCTGCAACCAGACTGTACAAGAACAAAATCTGTGTCATCAACAAGATGAAGTCAAACTTCCCCACTCTGCAGCAGCTGAAAGCAATTTCCGAAAATAACCAGGTAAAAAAACACTTCTACTCAGCAAAGTAACAGCCTTGAGTAGGGGTTGGCTTCCATCCAATGACATATTGTTAGGTATTGTTTCATCATACTAGAGTTCTCTGCTCTATCTTGGAATTCTGAGCAAAAAGTCTAATTTTGATCAAATTGTCCTCCTGAAGCAATAGACGTTATTAGACCTTTAAAGGGGCAAATGTAATTGACAGACAGAGACATGTATGTATAAAAGTGTTTTGCAGGGCTCTTACTGCCAGCCGTCATTTATAAGCCTCATTTAGTCTCATATGGCTGCCAATAAAAAAAACAATAGACTTTACTGCAAAGTTAAAGATATTGTAGCTACTTCTATGTATGTTTATATAAAGATCTATGAAGGTTATGAGCAATTTGTTAGAAGGTTACTTTCCTCAGTCACTAGTTTTAGGTCCACCATGTGCTGCTCCAGCACTGTATGTACTACAAATCCCAGAATTTTCTAACAATCATAACAGATGGTAACCCAGTTTACTTAATCCCTTGCAAAAAATAACATTTTCTATCTGTAAGTTATTATTGCTAATGTTTCTTCTCAAGTTTGCACACTCTATGCTGCATACATTTTCTCATGCAGTTATTGGCATGAGCTCGCATTTTTCTCCAGACCTCGGATTTTGTGGTGGTGGAGTGAAGTGGGCAAATTACAGATTCCAAACTGTGATTTATAGAGCTCCTTCCAGCTTCAAGGAAACGTCTATACACTCTTGGGCCTTACTGTAATCCAGACTCTCCCGGGGTGTTGGCAAAGATCTGTTCTGTGGATGCCAGTAGACTGAAAAATACAGCTAAAAATAATTTCCAACCCAAACTAAAATTCCGTCATTCTAACTGTATGACTCACTATGGATTTAATAATATAGGGTAGAGCTAGTTATACTTCATTTGTATGCAAACATTCAAAAAACCTATGCCAGCCAATCAGCCTCTTGTTTTCTAATGCAGAGGGACATCTGCCTTTCTGCCTCCCCCCCATAGGCCCCCCCCCCCATGTGACCCAAAGAGATGCCACCTGAGGCAACAGCCTCACGCTGCATTATATATTTAACTTCTGGGTTAGCTTTACAGCTAATGATGTCAATTCCCTGCTTACTGGACAGAGGTGTTAGTGACTGGAGGCAAAGAGGTGACATAATAATCCATAAAGCTGAACTATACATTGCTTAATCTACAACAATGTGTATATCCTGTCTGGTTTTGCAGGGTGGGAAACCTGTGTAAATCACAAGACTAGCAGTACAGAATAGTAATGGCAGTACAGAATACAAAATAACCAATGATCTGACAGGTAAAACAAAGTAGCTATAAAAGTAATTCAACCGTATATTTAGCTGCCTCCCAGCGTTTCGCTTTACTTTGATTTTAAGCTATTGATCATTCATATTAAGTATTATAAATAAAAAGTTTTAGTTTGAAATGGGGCTATTATGATAAATCTGTATGGAAATGACATATGTATCTTGTGAGTAAATATGTAAGTATATCATTTTTAGGTCCCACAATCTGTTGACATGACAACTTACACAATCAACCAGAAACCCATTATTAACATTGGAGAGTACGGACGTCACATCGAAGCTCTCTGCAAAGGCATGCCAGCCTACACCGCCATTGAGCTGCCTCGTAAGTGAATGTATTTGTTTGTCTGTCTGCTCTTCCCAGACTATAAGATGGGGGCTGTTCTTTATATGAAACCTGTCTTGAGAAAATGATTGGTCATTGACCTCCATCTGTAAATGGCAGTTGCCTGTCTCTGGTTTTAGCTCTTTCTGAATCACTGACCCAGAAAAAATATACAGCAAGTAGTGGAGGAGACAAGTCAGAATTCCAAATATGTATACTTGAAAGCCAGCATTGGTATCCTCTGAAAATGTCTCCATACAGGTTCCCTTTTAAAGTGGCACTAAACTCAATAGTTAAATCTTAAACATGCATTAAAGTACCTTAACTATGAATACTCTACCTCGTTTGTGTATCACTCAGCTGTAGATCCTCAAATCATCTCTGAATTGGTTCTGACACTATCCTTCCTTCTGGAGGGGGGCTACTTTTGTTTCCCATGGTCCCTGTGTGTGTTGTAAAGTAGCCACCACTCCAAACTAGCTCCCATGATGGACTACAATCTCAGGTTTAGTTTATGAATTTGCATTGAGATTGTAGTCCATCATGGGAGCGGGCTTGGAGCGGTGACTACTTTACAACACACACAGGGACGATGGGGAGCAAAAGTAGCCACCCTCCAGAAGGAAGGACAGTGTCAGCACCAATTCAGAGATGATTTGAGGATCTACAGCCGAGTGATACACATATAAAATACATTGTTGTAAATAGTTAAGATACTTGAATGCATTTTTAAGATTTTACTCCTGATTTTAGTGTCACTTTAAAGCTTGGGTAAGGGTCCCCCCCCCCTCCTGCAAGCAAGCCCTGTACCATTAAAAGAAAAATGAACAAACTTAACTTTTTGTCAGTGATTTTGGGTCACTTTGTCCTCCATCTGCTCCAGCAGCAGGCAAATCTCTCTGCACCCTTTCCTGTGAGCATGGGGGCAGAGCTTTGACACCCGGGGCTTACAGAAGGAGAGTTGAATGATGCTGGGCATCATTCAACCTGGAAGAGAAAAGACGCTGCATTGCTGAACCGGTGGGCTTGCAGGGAACTACTATGGAGATTTAGTTTTGTCTTCAGGAGCTGCTGGAGGATCCACTTTGTAAATGTCCAAACTGGAATTAGGCTTTAGAATGAGCAATTGCAGTAATTTCAAAACAGAGGCAAACACCATGCTTTTGAGAGCAGGGCCTCATATACTCTTTAACTGATGTTCAGAATGTTGCAATCTGCTGTAACGTGTTGGCCAATTCTTCTACAAAGATGCAGGTCATATTGTTACTTAAGAAAGGAAAGGTAATAATCACAGTACTACTAGTAATAATAAAGGCCATTAGATCCTAAATTATTTATATACAGTGAATAACAGATCTAGTCGCCAAAATGACAAAATAATAAATGCTTTTATAAATTGAGGAAACAATAATTACTAATTTATAGTCATATATTCGATAGAGCGATAGATAGATAGATAGATAGATAGATAGATAGATAGATAGATAGATAGATAGATCAGCTTTAGTTAGTATTACTAGTACAATATTTGAAGGCATGGAATGAAAATAAATCTGGAATACGGTTGAGCAAAGAGTTTCTCATTAAATATTGTGGTATATTTGTGCGGAAATAGGTATCTTTTTCTCTTATACCTCAAATTTCTTTTTAGAAGCCGAAGAAGGATTTGCTCTCTGCCACACCAACAGCATGATCACAATTTTGGGAATCAGCTTCTGTTTTTAAGATGCCAGTGAAAGGACCCTTTCCCACTAACTGGACCCATATTGAAATATTCTCCCAAATATTCAAAATGTGGATTTTTCCCAGTGTTCCCATAACATTAAGAACAATAACATTATAATAAATAATAAAGAAAGATTTATCAGTGGTTAGTGACTACTTGTGTCTTTGTATATAACCTTTTCATGAATAAAAAGTACTAAAAAAAAAAACAAAGTTGAATAAGGTTCTAACAGTAGTTCCCTTTCAGGTTCGGCGAGAGGGTTTGCAGTGTGCTGCAGCTCCAGTTCCATCACTGTTCTTGGTATCAGCCTCTGCTTTTAAGACGTACAGTTATAAGCCCACTGATCAGATATGTATGGATGCACACATGTACTCTCAATATAATTTCTTTTTATATTGTTCTAACACACACAATAAAATAGTTTCTCAGAGTATACTGTCTGTCTCTGTCTATCAATTCTGAGTATTTCTATATATAATATACCACAGTGCAACCCATATCAGTGAGTACCAACATCCCCATATGGAACCAAATTGGACTTTTTAGGTATACTCACAAGAATTTTTTATCTGTTAAAAAAATGTTTTTTCAAATAAAGATTCCCATTTAAACAGAACACAAATATGGCTGATTTGTAATTACCATAGCAATATATACATTGGTCTAAACCAGGGTGCCCCGAAATTTTGTTCAACACCATGAAAAGAGATTATGCTAATTCTTGAAGGCTCCGATCTGTTTAAAAAAGTACTCTTCCATCCAGGCCTGCTTCGCTTTTCACCTTCTGCCATGCTGCCATAGCTGCAGCTCCTGATATTAGGGTCCGTTCACACTGAAATCAGCAGTTACTTGTAAGTTAATGGAGGATTTGTTGACTTGCAGTTGTATCCTTTGATTTCCCTCCAATCCGTTGCTATCTGTTTTTCAACAGATGCTAACACAAGGGCACCAAAAATGAAATGGGCGTGAATGGGGCTAGTTGCACTGAAAAAAAGTAATGCATGTTCTACATGGAACTAAGTGGTGTGAACTGGTCCCATTTACACTCATTCATTTTTTGAGTTGCCTTCAATAATAAATAAACCTTTCATTGTTTTCATTAGTTGAAAAATTCATAATCCAGCTAAGAACTACCCTTGTAAACTGAGATAGATAGATAGATAGATAGATAGATAGATAGATAGATAGATAGATAGATAGATAGATAGATAGATAGATAGTGTAAGTGTAACATTATCATTGCTTGCTGGAAGCAATGCATGATGGGACATGTAGTCTTGAGAAATGAAGATTACATAACATCAAGCAGCAGGAAAAGAGACGCAAGTACATTGGTGAAAGTGATGGGCAGACAGAAGGCAGCACTCACTACATAATTTTCTCAGGCAAGCTTTAATTGAATTATCAAAAACAACTCTGGTACGTATTCTTATTACAACGATGATATTATGACAGGAGAGGACATGCTGGGACTTTACAACTTTACAACTTTTAACAAAAAGACAAAAATAACTATTGTGCAAGTTGTGATTGACATCATCACTGTTCTCTACAGAACCAGACTGCTAAAAGTCACCATATATTGTACTATGATTAATGTTTTGGACTCTCATATTATTATGTTAGATCCTAAAATTCAAACTGTTGCCCTTGGTGGTGGTGGTGGCAGCACCCAATGTAATAATAAGGTGTAGGGTGGAAATAAAGGACCTTCAGTAGCTTAGCTTGGATGATATGCATATCATTTATGTGGCATGCACACTGCTGTGAAGTGTCTGATTGTGGCTGAAATGATGAGATGGGAGGAAATCAGTGCATAAGTCTTGATGAGGAGGTGGACATGCAACTATAATGCAGCCAGAACACCACACTTTCCATAGCATTATTTCTCTCCACATTGTCAGTGATTGTATTCTTCATGGACTTGTGGGCAATAATTGTAGGCAAGGACAAGGTCATAGTTAGGCAGACCGGACACAAACCTGGTCCAGCACACTTTCTTATTCGGAGGCAGCACACAGCCACCAGTGTCATGACTGCTGAGGATCATAGATCAACATATACTTATTTAACTATAACAAAGTTACCTGTCCATCCCCTCACCAAGGATGAAACTGGACACAAACGTCTTACTGCATCTGACTTAGAGTCATGAAAGCTCAAGCTGCCAAGGTTATACTGCCAATTAAAGCCGTGACAAGTTTTTTAAAGAGGGTTGGTTGATTGTTGTACTTCTTGCTGGTCGTATTCCAAGAGGCCAGAAAGCCTGCCTTCTCCTCCTTTGGAGGCTTCCCTCTCTTCTCCTTAATGCTAATCCTCCAATAAAGTACCCCTTATGGCGGACAGGGAGGGATTAGTGTTAACCCTGTCACAACCCTGCATGATCCCAGCCATCAAGGCGCTCTCTCCTTACGGTCAAGTCACCTTCATTGTTATACAAAACTGTCCACCCCTTCAACACTTTCATCTCTTCAAACCCTCTAACATATTTTAGTGATACTGCTTATAGTTCTCAACGTCCTCATATGTGGAATTTTTTTCCACCTCATTATAAAAGTCAGAACACCACACTATCCATAGCCCGATCTTTCTTCACATTGCCAGTGATCGTATTCTTCATGGACCTGTGGACAATATGTGTAGGCAAGGACAAGGTCATAGTGAGGAAGACCAGGCAAAAACCTGGTCCATCACATTCTCTTTTTCGGAGACAGCACACAGCCACCAGTGTCATTGTAATACTACAGAAAATAAACCTGTTCACCTTTTCAACACTTTAACTTCTGCATCTCCTCTAGAAACACTTTTGATGATACTGCTTGTGGTCCTCAAGGTCCTCCTATATGGATTTTCACAGCATTATAATAGTATAATCAGTGATGAGTGAAACTTACCAACCCCATTATACCCAAGACTCTCTTTAGCTTGGCAGCACAGGGAGCAGGTCAGGTGAGCTGTTGCAGGAAGTTACAGGTTTTAAAAACAGCAACAGGTGTATTAAAAACAGTTTACACAAAGAGAGTTCTTTAAAGAGAAAGTGGGGTTTTTAAGGCACCGGATGAATGACAACTCCAAACAAGAAAAATATATAAAAAATATATTTTTATTTAATATAAATCTTAAAAAGAGAGGCTTAACGCCAGCAATAGAAGTTATTTAAATGAATCACGCCGACGCGCTTGATGCCGTTATAGCGCCCACGTGTGCCACCGACACCAATATGCGGCCTCGAGGCGGCGTTCTTGGTGGTTGGTGGCGTGGAGGCGTCTGGCAAAATTGTCTCTCCCGCGGTAGGAGCAGAGACGAGACGGCGCTCTATGTCCCAAATCATGTGTATATAAGAACATAGGGTGAATCATGTTGACTTGTTAATGAAGAGGTACTGTGTTATGTGGAAAGAGCTGTGTAGGGACCATCTATTTAGTTTAAATAACTTCTATTGCTGGCTTTAAGCCTCTCTTTTTAAGATTTATATTAAATAAAAATATATTTTTTATATATTTTTCTTGTTTGGAGTTGTCATTCATCCGGTGCCTTAAAAACCCCACTTTCTCTTTAAAGAACTCTCTTTGTGTATACCATTATTAGGGGTGTGGCACCCAATATCCAGATCCAGGTCAAAAAAATGTCTCTATTCAAGTATTAAAAACAGTTAAAGATGAACTCCAGGCAAAAAGATAAATACATGGCTGAAATACATATGAGGGAGCTGCTTTACCTGCCAAAGGATTTGCATTCGTGTCCATCCAGTCCTGAGATTTAAACAATCCTGCCAGATGACACAGCCAAGTTGGTGAATTCACTTTTCTCTACTGCGATGCAAGAAATGCATCTTGGTCACCTCTCTGCCCCAGCCTGTGATTGGACAATGAAGGAGCAACAGCAGACTGATCTGCTCTCTAGAGAGTCAAGTCTCTACTCTCTCTTCTGTCAGCATGTACTATGTCAGCACATGTGCATGCAGAAAAAAGCCTCATTGGCTCAGAGTACTGACCATCGTTCCCTCCCAGGCTGTAGAAGAAGCTGACATCAAGTCAAATTCTGGTATTTAGATTTGTTGCATTTGAGTTTATGTCTCATAAATAAGCAACATTTGAAATTGATATAGGGTAACTTCATAATCCTTCCAAATAAAATAGAATATAAAATCAAAATAACTGTGTTAAAATAAAATGGATAGAATTATTAATTAAATCAGTCTGGGAGGACTACAGCTATGTACTAAAAAGAAACTAACAGACTGGTAGTTTTTAGATCTGTTCATCACCATGTAAAGCAAGGTAATATTAGTTTAGATGGGAGACCACTGAGCCTCCTAATTAATATATTTTAGAACGTTTCATAGAAGAAAGGAAGAGACTATAGATACACTAAGGCAAATGGACATTCTGATGATGACAACAAGTGGAACAAGGGACCTGGTTGGCAAACCATTCATTACAACATAAATTTTCCCATAAGATTGTATATGCATTTATTTATGCATGTTTTTTTCATGAAAAGAATCCCTTGTGTAGGTATCCAAAAGGCCTGCAACTGCTATTTTCATCAGCCTCAAATTCAGAACCGTCACTCAAGTAATACTCTGTAGCAGTGGTTCCCAACCTCTTTTTACTTGTGTATACCTTGGCAATCTATTTGTATTATCTGTACCGCTCACTGGGCAGGAGGAGGGAATAATAGTGAATCATGTAGTGTGCTGTGCCTAAAGGTAAGTGTGGCCTGTGACGTACGCCTGGCCCAAACCCGCTGTACGTCATCTTTGTTAGCCCTTTAGGGGGTGTCACAGAGCTGGCTCCTAGGGCAGGGCTGGGGAGGGAGAGCAGGAGGAGTGACAAACCTTTATTTTACACCATCGCTGCCCAATTCCAAATTATGAAATGGAGCTGATATTGTAACTCAGGTTTATGACATTCGGGTGAATGCTGGGTCACCTGGGTCATTACCTCTACCAGACCTTCTTGTGTTTATCAACTTGTCCACTGGTGACAGACAAATGCCTGGTGACATGCCTTTAATTAGGGACAGCTATAAAAGGTTTACAGGGATATTTGGGACTCTCACTAGGGCTGGGGGGACAATAAAGATCACAGGCCAGATAAGCAGATATCTGTTCTTGGAACGTGGAAGGCCTGGCAAATGACTAAATGAAGGCCTGCATTTTCTCTGAATTGGGGGACAAGAGAATGCTATTTTTTTATTAGCAGACTCAAACACCACTATCATCACATGGTCAAATTGCACAAACAGTAGGAAGAGCCACTGTTTTGGTGTCAGTGGAATGAAGGATGGAGCTGGGAGGCTAGGATGGGGGGCTATATGGGGTATGCCATATTGCAGTGGTGTGTCCAGTGTTATCTTGGGGTCTCTTTGGGGTGATGTCTGTGACACTGGATTCTAGATTCCTTGAACGCTGCTCTCAGTTGACAGGGGTATCACAAAGGTTCTCGGTAGAAATCTGTAGAAATATTAGAAGAATGAGATCCAGTAATTGGTTTATTTAACATAATAAATGAGTGGAAAGTCAACATACTTCAGGGGCTGTCACACTGGCACACAACTGTTATGTTATCTATTCATTCTACACAAGTGCAGTCCAGTATACATTTGGACTGATTTTTAAAGTGACATTAAAGTCAAAAAAGAAATTCCCTCCCCCCATGTTAACACTTACCTTAAATGATGTCTCTTATTCCGATCTTCTTCTTCTTTCCTGATGTGTCCCAGTGGTGCGGCGGCTCTCCGATCCAGCGCTGACTGCTCTGTCCCCCCGATCCAGCGGTGTCTGCATTTTCATTTCAGCATAACAGCTGCTTCATCTCTGGAATATGGGGTTGTGGTTTTCAAGTGTTTACAATCTTTCAGATCTGTTGTGGTTGCTAATTGAACCACTCAATTCTAACATATTACTGCTAGATAAAAAAAATCAGGTGTCACAAATGAAATAACCAAAAAAAATCCTTTTTTTTACATGTTAAAAACAGATTGGGGGACTCCTGCTATATTAAAGCCAAGAAATAATGTAAAAGTTAATAAATGTATTATACATGCAAAATATGTAATGCCAGAATACGGTGTGGCTGATGCTGTCCATGAAGATTGTACAGTTCCCTAACACCACATACAGCATCAAGACATCTCTCAAGCATGTATTAGAAAGGCATGATGTATTTCCCATGTCTCCCACAAAGTCACGTAAAAAGGACGACTCTCTTGCCATGATATTTTAAGACTTTTTTCCCATTTATATTTTTGCCCCACGGTAGTGCCCAGCTCCCCATGTTTAACAATCCCTTGCCTATTAGCCTTGAAATTGCCAGAAGTGATTTACAATGACTTCAATGAGCCGTCCATGTATTCAACCCAGATGTATATCGCTAATAACAGGCTGCATGTTTTTTCACTGGGCATATTTCCTAATTGTTGCCGCCTGCAATAGTTTTTTCCAAAGGCCTTTTTTAAAAAGAGGGAATTCCATGAAAATGAAAGGTCAACTTAATTAAAAGCCACCCAATCCCCAAATTCAAATTGAATGTGAAGGCAATATTTCTAAAAACAAACAAACACTTAGGTCAGCCATGATTTGTGGCACTTCCAGGAGGTGCAGATGATGTCACCATGCCTCAATGCTGCCCCCTGGGATAGCTGGTAGCTCAAAATCCTACGAGAATACATTCCTGCAATGGGCTGGAGTTTTAGTGTCCATTCGCACTAAAGTGTTGTGCTAAGCGCACATTACTGTGCATCTAGTATTTAACAATGTGCCGTGTCATCGGCACTGCAAGATTCTGCTTACCTGTGTATGACCGCAGCTTATGGTTCTGACTGCGGTTCCGGCTATCGATCTGACACCTTTCACTCCTGTTGCCTTACAGCTACAAATCTGGTCTCTGTCTACCAGTTACGCATCATCCATTGGCTACAGCATCCAGGAGTTTCAGTGGTCCTCCCAGTCCTGCAGACTCAATCATCTGTTCCATGCTCTCAAGCATTCTTAATGACTACATCCTGTCTTCAGCACCAGCTCCTATGCCACTCTACATCTGTACATTCTCTGTAGAATCCAGAAATGTGGGACAAGAGGGGCATGAGTAGCCCCCTTCTCAGCTTGGTATCCATCCAGTTCTATGATACTTTGTTAGGAAAATAAGGCTAAAGTAAGATTAAGGGTTACTGTCAGAGTTAGAGTTACACTTACTGTTGGCTTAGACGAGTATCCATTAGAATTATGTTGAGAGGGTTACAGCCTCTACCGACTACACTGCCTACCTTTTTCTCCCTTTCCCCCCACTCTATTCTTCTCTATTTCTCCTTTTACTCTCCACGTTAGTCCTTTGTCCTGTATGTCTTGTACATTGTCTAACCTCACTTTTATTGCGCATCATACCACTGGTTGCCTCTAATATAACCTCAGGTTCTCTTAGATTTCTTAGAATGTTATATTATGGTTAGGGATGCATATTAACTCTTCATTGACAATACCAATACAAAACAGATTCTCCTTCCTTATTTTGCCCTTACGATAATATACTTTCTTATGACTATTTGGCTTGGAGCCCCTATTCTTTTAATATGCTGATCTCTCCTTCCCGCATTGTTATAAGACCTGGTATGTACGGTAACAACTTTGGGCTAGAATTGTAATACCCCACCATTAATGTTGTTCTTCTGATCTATGTATTGTTTTTTTTTTGAAACATTTATAAAAAACTTTTGACATTTAGAGTTATGTTGAGGGTAAGTGTTAAAGATAGGGATAGCGTTAGGGCTAGCCCTAGGGTTAAGGTTATTACTAGGGTTAGAATTAAAGTTTGAAGTAGGATTAGGATTAGCATTAGGGCTAGCCCTAGGGTTAAGGTTCCTACTAGGGTTGGAATTAAAGTTAGAGGTAGGGTTAGCATTAGGGCTAGCCCTAGGGTTAAGGTTACTACTAGGGTTAGAATTCAACTTAGAGGTAGGGTTAGCGTTAGCATCAGGGCTAGCCCTAGGGTTAAGGTTGCTACTAGGGTTAGAATTAAACATAAACATAAAGGTATGGTTAGCCTTAGGGTTAGCATCAGGGCTAGCCCTAGTGTTAAGGTTGCTACTAGGGTTAGGATTAAACTTAGAGTTAGGGTTAGCGCTAACGGTAGCCATGTTTAAGGTTAGTCCTGTTAATTGTTTTCACATAAGCAGTCCACAAGGTAAGATTTGAGGCCAGTTTTAACAAAAGTTGGGAGAAGGTGAAATCAGATCAGGTTCAGTGATTTTATGATTTATAGGATTAACATTCTGAAGTATGATTCACGTCTTTATCTTCTGGGTTAGTAATTCTAGTCACCTTGTTCCATAATCATATTTTCTCATTTTTAATTGTATACTAATTTTCCATGTCACATCTACACCCTGCTTATATTTGTTTTTGTATTTTTTTTATCAACATGGCTATGAAATGAAAGGGTCAGAAGAGTGGAATATTAAACCAATCCTATTTAACAAACACGTATCACCCTCACAAAGGGTTTACTCACTGATAACGTCAGCTGGAATTCTGTGACTTATCTCAGGCCATTGTGCAGTGGTTTTGGCTAGAGCATATAAATGAGCAGAACACCACCACATAATACAGAACCCTCAATATTTCCTACGTAAGAAAAGCACAGTGGCAATGGGGACAATGGTAAGTGGCTAACATGCATATATATTTGTATTTCTTTCACCCACTTTACATTCAGTAAGTCAGCAAACTGACTAAATTATTACACAAGAAAGAGGTTTGTATAACATTTTTAATTGTATTGTATTTAATACAAATTAACGAGTCAGTCTTAAAATCTGAAATATTAGTGGATGCTGAAAGTTTGAAAAAAAATCTTCTGGTACACTGGATTGTTTGCACTGGAGTTGCTTTTCTACCCTATACAAGTCAATCTTAATACAAAAGCAGCCCAAAGCAACTCAAAAACAAATTAAAGCAACTCAGAAGTAAGTCAAAGCAGCCCAGAGACACTTTGCTTCTGAGTCTGTGTACACGAGTCTCTTAAGAAATCAAACAAATATTTATAAAGGTTCCCTGTGTCTTCCACAGTGGATTTTTATTTTGCATTAAAATGTATGTATATCCAAAACTTTTTTTTAGATTTGGAAAGAATAAGGAAGGACTAGAACCGCTGTCAAGTTTTAATTGCCGTCTATGTCCCCAGTAGGTAGTTTTACCTTCTGTGTTTGTCCTGGTCACCACTGTAACCCAGACAGAAAGTGATGTGAAATCCATGTGTCATCAGAACAAGACAGTCATTTCCTGTTGTATCTCTGGGACAGGAAGTGAGAACAAATTGCCCAAACTGGACACAGAAAGCAAGAAAAATTGAAAGACTGGGGTTTTAACCATTCCCGACCTTATCTAAAACAAAATGTTTTGACTATGCATACATTTAGAGGAATAATTCTAAAGAGCGAGAGTATTGCTCTACAATATGTGCAGCAGACGGTGGAACCAGGAACTCACCACTGGAGCCCCCCTAGATTAGAAGAAAAACTTCAAGTGACATAAAACCCAGGAGTTAAATCTTAAAAATGCATTTGAGTACCCTTAAAATTAACAAAAATGTCTCTTATTTGTGTATCACTCGGCTGTAGATCCTCAAATCATCTCTGAATTAGTGCCGACACTGTCCTTCCTTCTGGAGGTTGGCTACTTTTGTTCCCCATAGTGCCTGTGTGTGTTGTAAAGTAGCCACCGCTGCAAGTTCACTTCTGTGATGGACTACAATCTTAATAAAAATGAGTAAACTAAACATGACATTATAGCCCATCATGGGAGTGGCCTTGGAGCGGTGACTACTTTACAACACCCACAGGGACAATGGGGAAGAAAAGTAGCCCCCTCCAGAAGGAAGGACAGTGTCAGCACCAATTCAGAGATGATTGGAGGAACTGCAGCCCAGTGATACACAAATTAGATACATTTTTGTTAATAGTTAAGGGTGCTTGAATACATTTTTATGGTTCAACTCCTGAGCTTTGTGTCACTTTAAGTGTGCACATATTTAATGGATCAGTTAATTAATTTATCCCATGCTCTTCCAGCTGGCTCAGAATATGATAACGTCACACATAAACTGTGCTCAGTCTTTACTTGGCCCATGTACGGTAACTCTAAATCTGGATTAACTTATCAAGTTAATGAACTGCACATATACTTGCTTGAATATTAATTCTTACAAAGACAGAATACTTTTGTTAAATTGTTTCTTTAATTGCTTATTCCATAGCTCCTGCTTCTTGGACTTCTGGCAGTCTTCGTAAATCCATTGCAGGGAGATGAGGTAAGAAAATGCAAACACCTTCACCCTCCATGAATAGGGCTGTGCAAAATGACTTATACAGAAAACAATGTGTTTTCAATAAAATGACAATTATAATGGGAAAATTGCTGTATTGTTTGTTACATTACACCCATACAACTTTGAAAAATGCGAAAAATAAAAAGAGGATTCTTTTATTTTTATTTTAGTGGAGTTGATTAATATGTTTCTATTGTCACATTCTGCTCTATTGCCATGTCATCACCAGTTCTAACTTTTTAATTGTAACATTTTTTTTTTAAATGAAGCAAAAATAATACATCCTTGTGCCAATTCTTTTTACAGAGTAAGTAGAATTTTGACACTTCCATGGAGTCGGATCCTCCTTTCTGCTAAGCCACCCACTGATACTGGCTGCTTAAGCTGCATGCACTGCAAGCTGTAATGAAAGTTCTCTTATCACATAGCCCTGACTGCTCCAGAGAGACTTTACCCAGAGATGTCAGGTGCTCATGATAACAAATCTTTCATTACAACTAAGGTGCTGATTTATAACCAGTTCACCCAGTGTATAGATAAGCAAACATCGTTCACAGCCCATTACAGCCACTAGATGGAGCTAAGGGGCATATGAGTTTCCTATACTCCTTGACTCCTAGTGGCAGTAACGCTCTGTCAATGTAATTTGTTCAGTTATATGCTGGGCAAACGAGTTATAAGTCAAAGCTATATGTTAGGAGCCAGACAAGTGACTCTGCAGCTGTGTGTAGATTTATAATAGCAGGGAGACTTGCAGACTGGATTTAATGAATCTCCACTCCAAGCTCATTCCCGTCATAGACTATAACTTCAATACAAATTAGTAAACTAAAAATTAGATTGTAGTCCATCACAGGAGTGAGCTTGGAGTGGTGGCTACTTTACAACACATACAGGGACCATGGTGAACAAGAGTAGCCACCCTCCAGAAGGAAGGACAGTATCAGCACAAATTCAGAGATGATTTTACAATCTACAGTCGAGTGCTGCACAAATTAGATACATTTTTGGTTAATAGAGATAGGGTATTTGAATGTATTTTTAAGATTTAACTCCTGAGTTGAGTGTTACTTTAACAGCAAGACATTGACACAAATCATATTCTACATCTGTTCGGAGTCATATTATATTGTTTCACAATTGTTTCTTACAGTCCTTCCAATATGTGAACAATGGCTACAATGGAGAGACTGTCTACCATACTGTTAACATCAACGAGCAAGTCAAGGTCGCTGTGTTCAATGTCTATTCTGGACGAGAAACATCCAACGCCGTCTTTGATTACAGCCAGGTAAGAGCCACAATATAGTTTAGTAACATAGACATCGTGAATATAGTTTGTAAGCATTATTCTAATAAGAAGGAACATTTGCTCAAGAAGACCGCAGTCTGCCATTAGGACATATTGGGTCTGGGCAGAGCCGTATCTAGCTCCTTTTGCGCCCAAGGCAAGAACAGAGAATTGTGCCGCCCCACAATAGACGTGTTATGCCACCCGACGCCGCGCATGCACGGCGTCATGTGACAACATATGCCCCGCCTCCAGGATTGCGCTGGTGGCCAAATCCAAAATAGCATAAAAATGTTAACAAAAACATGAAAACATTTTTAGTTTCCGTTTATGTAGTTCGAAACAAATTTTTAGTCTTTGCATATGTCTAATAATATGTGTGCATAAGTGTGTGTGAGGGGTGTTTTTGTATTTTTATTATTTGTTATTATTGTTATTATTATTTTTTTTACTGTCGTTGGGCTTCAGGGAACTATCAGGGGTCTAAACAGAAAGAAATAGAAAAAGAGATTGAGAACACAGAGTCCCCTGCCCGTACAGGTGGGGGAGAGTAGCGGGATCCTAGGAGAAGCTGGAGCCTTGCCACTCCTCTTCTCCCTGTCGAGTCATGGCTGTGTTGGCCACCTGGTGCCCTTGTGGCCAATGGCGCCCCTGTTGCCAATGGGGCCCTGTGCTCGCCCTGGCAAACGGGGCAAGGGGGCGCAGCCAGGCCGCCCCTGGCTATGCCCCTCTCAGCTGCGCCTGAGGCGAGTGCCTCACTCGCCCCATGGTAGCTGCAGCCCTGGGTCTGGGTAGGAGAGCCCATTAGGGGTTAGTACTCTTATGAGTATTGCATTAGCGGTCAGGTCTATTTAATGCCAAGAGAAACAAAGTTGACTTGACTTGAACAGTTCGCTCAGCGTACACCTGTGCTCCACCTGTCATAGCTGAATCCAGATGGGTGCAAAGTGAAAATAAATATTACTTTGCATTCAGTTTTAATGACAAAAAAAATAGATTTTTTTTTAATTATTTTAAAAGGAATAAGGTCGGTCTGAAGCACATTTCCTAACCAATGTAAAAGAGACCCGGTCACAAATTTAAAACATCGCTGTGAAAGCATGGAACACTAATGTATTTCAAATGCTTACTTGTTTTTTTACTTTTCATAAATGTTTTCTTTATTATTTCTCATTTATTTCCAGAAGAGCTAATTCCCCACCCCCCATCCTCGCATGTCATGGCCCTCTCTTCTTCTAAAGGTCTAATTACTTTCTGTGCAGGCCCAGCTCCTCCGCTCCTCCCTACATAACCTTTTATATAGCTGCTGGGGAAGGAGTGAAGGGGAATTCTATAGAGTATCACTTAAGTGACAGCTCTGAATCTGCCAGGGCTGCTGATATCATTTCCAAGATACTTTAAGGGCCCATTTACACCAGATGCTGCGTTAATTTCACTGTATCCGGTGTGTGTACGGTGGTGTGAACTGAGTCCATCCATGACCAGGCAAATTGTCTGGTCTTGCATTGGGGCTGCACTGGAAACCACAGCCAGAGCAGCTCCAACACAGGGAGCTATAAACCCAACATTACGTCTAGGCATGCATTCATTAAAAACTATTCATTATTGCAGGGGTAGGCAACCTTGGTGAACCAGCTGTGGTAAAACTACCAGCCCCATGAGGCACTGCAAGACTCTGACAGCCACATGCAGGACTACCAGAGGCATGATATGATTTGTAGTTAAACCACAGGTAGAGTGCAAAGGTTCCCTACCTCCACATTAATACATACTTAAAAAATACTAGCACAAGTACCTGAAAATGTCTTTAGACTGAGCGTTTTGTAATTATCTGCACAACAAAGCAGCACATACTGGAAGAGAGAACTCTGAACCAATAAGGGTTCCATTGCCTTGCACAGAGCAATCTGAACATACTTATGGAAGGTGAGAGCAGAGGGCTGACCTTTTCAGCCTGGTACTGCTCCTTCATTGGCCAGGCATCTGATTGGGGAAGGTTGGTGACCAAGTTGTATTTCTTAAATGAAGTGGAGAAAAAGTCTGGCAGGGATGTCAAGCAACCACAAGACTGGCTGAACAAAATGACAAATCCTTTGACTGATTAAACAGTTCACATGTATCTATCCTGCGTATTTAGCTACCATTCTAATTCTAGATCATTCTAATAATTTTGCTATTAATTTATTAACTAGAGTGAAGACTTCCATGACTCTTGCATTTAGGTGTGTTCAGACATGTAGACATGTTTTCTAAATGTATGAGTGAAAGAAAAACCTATACTGAGAGAAATATGTCGGCTGTGGTTGCTGATGTCTTCTCCTGAAAATGCTAAATCTCTATCACGTTGATGCTTTGACTTCAATAATTTAAGTCGCTGACCCAGAACAAATTTTCACCTGGATCATGATTGTTCTGGGTTTGTCACTTACAAGTTTATTTATCCAGACACAGCCAGGCAACTAGCATCTTCACAGGTGGGCCAGCAATGGCAGACCAGGTATTTCTCTTATGACAGGGGCACTTTGTCTGGATGTGACATAGACATAATAATAATCAAACATGTTTCATCTTCCACCAGAACATAGTGGCTTACCACATGCCTTACAGAGGTGTCTGTGTACTCGCACACATGGATATTAACACTTTCCCTGGACTGGGCCTCTTGGAGGAGCTGATTCATACAAAGAGGGTAAGTGTGTGTGGAATATAAACCAAACTCCATCTAATGACATAGGGCAGGGCTCAAAATTTCAAGTCCTGAGCTACTAGCCAGGCCTTAAGAGTTACTCGCCACCAGTCGCCCCACCTGACCCCTACCGTGCCCCGCCCTTAACTCCGCTAGGTCAGTGGTGTGACACAGAGAACAGAGATCAGTAACAATGCAGAGTGCAGAGGCCAGTGGTGTGATGCAGAGTACAGAGGCCTACTGCCAGTGGGGCCAACTTGCAAGATACTGAAGCTTGGCCCAGCGGGAGATTCCTCCATCCAACAGTTTAGCATAGATGGAGGAATCTGTTGCACTTCTTCCATCTGACTATAGAAAATCTGCAGATAATCTATAGGTGTATGGGCAGCTTTCGTGTTCTTATGATTCGACCCTTTGATCCTTCTCACAGGACAGATTAATCACAGAATTGTCAGCACTTAAGTTGTTAAACCTTTTTTGTAATTTAAAACTGCTGATTACCTGGCAATGGTAGCATTCATGGTAGTCTTCCAGAACTTGCTTACCTGAGCAGTCTTCCAGCAACTTGCTTGCTTCAACTTCGGGCCTGTCTGTCGGCGGCTGTCATCCCCCCAACGCCTGCTCCTCCTTACTTCTTCTTCTCCCCGCGTCCCTGTGCCGATCATGGATGTAGGCGGGCGGTGATAGACACCCGAATGCTTGTTTGTAAACAGCCATAGCTGGCTGTTTACATCTCAAGTTGATTTCCCGCTAGGCAGCGGGCACAGGCAGGGCGAGAAGGGACGTTTAAAAACACCCACCTGCATCTAAGAAGCCGCTGTCCTGCTGTTTATTTACAACGGCCGGACAGCAAGTGGTTAAATAGTAGATGCCTTGGAGATTATTTTTTTTTTACTCAAGGAGTAAAGCATGTTCACTTTGCAAGAGAATTTTCATGCTAAAAGAGAATTGTATCCTTAGTTTAGTGAATGTGGTGAAAATCCACTTTGCAAATGGGTGGCATAGTGGTTACTTAGCACTTCTGCCTTGCAGCACTGGGGTGCCTGATTGGAATCCTGGTCTGGATACTATTTGCAAGGAGTTTCCATGTTCTCTCTGTGCTTGCGTGCGTTTCCTCCCATGCTCCAAAGACATGCTGGAAGGTAAATTGGCCCTGTATGTGTGCATGTAAGATAGTGACCTTAGATCATAACCTGCTTGAGTTCAGGGACTGATGTGACTGTGCAGTATGTAAAGCGCTGCGTAACATTGTTGGCCCTATATAAATACCTGCAATAAAGAATTCCCAATCCCGTTGAAAATGAAAAAAATTGAATTTTGCTTGTACATGATTGGATGATAGAAGTCAGCAGGACTTCCCCACATGCTAAGCAAAGTAAAAATTCCCTTGCAAAGTGAACATGCTCTACTCTTTTAGTTAATCATCCCACTGTATCGGTCTGCCCTACAACATCATCATGTTAACTCATACTGTATAAGACAGATTTGTTAACAATTCTCAACAGGCATAAAGCCATCGCTTGATCACACCAGATTTTGTGGGTTGTGTCTAATGAAATAAATAATTACAATTGAAATATATTCCCTTTTCCATTGCAGGAGAAGAAGAAGGAGCTGGAGGATCTTAAAAAACATTACTTTGTCACTAACCAGCAAGTAAATGACCTTGCCCAGTATGGAAGTGCTGTTCAAGGACTGTGCTGGGGAATACCAACCTACTGGGCTCGTGAGTACGCTGGTAAGTAGCCCATCATTCCAGAATTATCTACTGATTATATTATTCCATAGATCAATGGAAATAAGATTAATTCACCCCAAAATAAGAAGACATCTCACCTTTAAAAGTTGTCACTAGACAAGGGGGCCAATCCCAACCCTGAAAAACAACTCCACACCATTATCCCACCTCCACGAAACTTTACACTTGGCACAATGCAGTCAGACAAGTACCGTTCCCCTGGCAACTGGCAAACCCAGGCACGTCCATCGGATTGCAAGACAGAAAAGCATGATTCGTCACTCCAGAGGACCCGTCTCCACTCCTCTAGAGTCCAGTGGCGGCGTGCTTTACACCGCTGCATCAGACTCTTTGCATTGCACTTGGTGATGTCAGGCTTGGATGCAGCTGCTCGTCCATGGAAACCTATTCCATGAAGCTCTCTGCACACTGTTGTTGTGCCAATCCGGTGGCCACATGAAGTTTGGAGGTCTATAGTTATTGACTCTGCAGACAGTTGGCGACTTCTGCGCACTGTGCACTTCAGCATGCGCTGACCTCGCTCTGTCATTTTACGTGCCTACCACTTCGTGGCTGAGTTGTTATGTTGTTCCCAGTTGCTTCCACTTTGTTATAATACCACTAACAGGTGACCGTGGAATATTTAGTAGCAAGGAAATGTCACGGATGAACGTATTCCACAGGTGACAACCTATCACGGTAGCACGCATGAATTCACTGAGCTCCTGAGAGCGACCCATTCTTTCACAAATTTTTGTAAAAGCGCCTGCATGCCGAGGTGCTGGATTTTATACACCTGTGGCCATGGAGGTGATTGGAACACCTGAATCCAATGATTTGGAGGGGTGTCCCAATACTTTTGACAATATAGTTCATATATATACATACATATACCTATACACATATTCACACATATACACATAACAGAGACAGATTAAGGCAGAAGGGGCCCTAGACAAGGTTGCAGCTTTGATCCCATCTCTTTGACTGATATAGGTAAGGATTGCAATAAGCACGGAGAAATTGCTCCATTTGCATAATCTGTTCTGGCATGAACATAATCAACTGTGCTATGCTGCTGGGTTGCAGTAAGGGCATGAGGGTTGTAGCTGGGCTCCATGTAGATCCTTCCTAGGTTGCTTTGTGGATGATCTGGCTCTGACATATGCTGATAAACATTTTTTTTAATATTAATTTTAATAAATGTGCTTTACTGTTACAGCTCCACCCCAAAGGCAAGGTGAGGGAGCTCAAGGATGTGCTGGAATCCATTTCCTTTTCATCCATGTTGGGCTATGTGCAGGATTCCACCTCTTCTAACCTTTTCAGCATCTGCCATCATTCTGCTGCCGTTCACACTCAATACCTCTCAGCAATGCAGTGATGACTTTCCACTTCCCGCATTTGATGAGCCACTTGAAACCCATTCTTCATCATTTTACTACAACTAGAGACAGCGGGAAATCTCAGATGGCTGAATAAATTCCCAGAATTAAAGAAGTTGCTTTTACACTTCAATAAAATGTATTTACAACCAATGAAATGTTTTTATGGTATTCTTATTGCAATACACCTTCTCCTTATTTCTGAGAGCAAGTGTTCTTTGGAAGGTTGGTGAGTCAGTTTAAAAAGCATCCTGGGCCAAACAAAAAGTTCAGTAATAAATATAGAAGGTGGTGCGTCATTTACTTGAGACTGCTGTTAATTTTTTTGATGGGCATATTAGGAGCAGAAATAATGTAGAACAATATTTGGACCTTTAGCTAGAAATAAAGGCTGCCTCCAGTAACATCCTCTGTGCTGTTACACAGTTGTATAAATATCACACCATTCATAGTCATAGTTGGTGTTCATACAAATGTGAGATGAGAATTTGTATAGTTTATTTTCCTTAAGCTATACAGTATATTGTGAGCAGCATTATAGCTGATTCGTGTGCTGCCATCTTGTGGTCGTTTTTCTGCGTTCCCTCCTATCTATGATGTATTTCCCCCTTCTTGTTCAAGAACTAGTCGAGCGTCATGTCTGCTTATAACAAGACCATGTACATTCTAGCTTTGGAACATTATCATCCTTGACCTTCAAATACCGTCTGTTCATTCATCTGCTGTATCCTGTTGTCTGCTGTAACCAATAAAGCATTTAGTGGAGGAAAAGGTATTTGAGTTCAGCTATCTGACAAGAATTGTCTGCAGTGATTATATCTGCTTATACAGGCCAGGCATAGAGGTCTCAGCAAGGGATAAATTGCTAATACAACAATAGGAGTCAGAATATCCTTTCTCTTTGGGGTTCTAACAATTACATACCCTTGTCCATGCACTGACAAGAAACTTGCCCTCAGCTAAGGTTAATGTTGTACATTGTGGGACTCTACTGGAGATTTTATCTTGAACATATTCCTTTTAGAATCACTTATAATACCAGTGGAAGATTACATAAGGCCATAAATGATGTAAGGTGAAGCAAGGGCAACCAATGAGAAATATTTGAGTACTCTAAACTGTAGAATGGTGATATACGTTTGGTTCCATAAGCGTGTGCCGGGTGTGCTTGGGCACATGCTGAGCACATGCTGAGCACAACACTGGAACTGAAACAGCGGGCGCCGTGTTTTTGGTCACTGAGTTGGTGGAGAGCTCACAGAGATTTCTCTGTGACCGGCTCAGCGATGCAGAGCACAGCAGCACTTGCCACTTACATTACTCACATAACAGCCACAGTCCTCGGTGCCTGGAAAGCTGCGAGAGGCTTCCCATTCAATCAGGAAGTTGGGTTGAACTAGATTTCAGTTACGGCTTGTTCACACCAAATGCAGACCAGATCTGCATGAATTTCTGCACATGCAGTGCAGTGTGTTATACCGCATTTTTTTGCCGCATTTTTGATGCATTGCAGGCCGTTTTTGGTTAAAAAAATATGTTTTTTTTAGTTTAAAATGGGCTTTCAGTGTGTTCCAGTGCGTTTGCATGCATTTTTTATGCGTTTGCATGCGTTCCAGAGCAGGAAAAATAGTGCTTGTTGCAGTTTTTTACATGCTCTGATAATGAACGCTGCAGTGTGAACTAGAGCCCAAAATACCATTGGAATACATTGGACGCAATTTTGATCCGGTCTGTAAATGCTCTGCTCCTGGAACGTGCTTGGTGTGAACAGGCCCTTAGGGGTGGACTGACAATTCAAAATTATGCCTGCTAAAAAAAAATTATACTTTAAAGTGACACTAACTCAGGAGGTAAATCTGATATTAACAAAAATTTATCTTATTTGTGTATTACTTGGCTGTACAATCATTTGTACTGAGATTGTAGTCCAATTCAGAGATGATTTGAGGATTGTCACGTGGTTTGGGCCCCTTAGATATCTCTATGCATTGAAAATTGCGTGACAACCGCGTGGTTTTTAAAAAGCACAGTCGTGCAAACAAAAACGTGCGAAAACAGCTCACCAGCTCAATCGCCTAGGTGTGATACACAAATAAGATACATTTTTGTTAATTATTAAGGTACTTGAATGCATTTTTAAGATGTAAGTCCTGAGTTTCATGTCACTTTAAGATTGCAAAATTACATTATGTAATGAAAATTGTTGTTTTTAATGATTGAAAAATTACTTGCTATTGATATTTTGGACATAACTCACATTGCGCAGTCTTAGCAAATCAGAGTGGTTCTTGTCTGGTGACTCAAGCCTCTCATCATAAAATCCACATCTAAAGCATAATAATAATATGATTCCACAAAACTACCAGCAGATGGCGATGCATCACATCATTTTGCCTTTGTACACGCCATCATTTTTTTTTAGCACTTTTTTTTAAGTGTTTAGTTAATGATGTGACTTTTTTATTTTATATTTATTAACAAAAACATATTCATCATTCCCAATAGTGCAGTGTGCATATAATGAGCAGTTGGTATTGTGTATTGTTGTATAGCAGTGTTTCCTTTCCTGTCCCTAAAGGGAGCATGAACTCTTACTGCAACTTTAGGACACGTTTGAGAAAATATTTTTTTAAATAGTTAACAATGTATTGTATTCTTTAGTATAGATCTAACAATCCGTCCAACAGCTGTCTTTTTTGGACATAAACATGTATGTTGTAATTTATCCAGGAGGATAATGTAAAATGGATTGTTGTTTGCAGCAGCAACTTTGACTCTGGGATACCTATTGCATTTATTTCAGTTCAAAGCAAAGTCCATTTTTTTGAAAAAAAACCATAAAACATGCATACTACATAAAAAAAAAATGTACATTCATTATTTTTTTGCATTGGAGCTAGTAGATCATAGGTTAATTGTTCTGGCTCCTGCAGACACTTCCCCCCAAACCTCAGTATGGTCATTCCGTAACATGAACAGGAGGAGGTATGAAAGGACTACAAGTGCAGTGACATCACCACATTTGTATTCCATTAAGAACTACAAGTCCTTCTGTGACAGTGACTGATGGGACTTTCTCCATTCACAGATCCTGTCAAAAGATCTGTGAATGGATGACACAGTTGTCTGAGTCCAGCCATGCACAGCCGCACCAATTTCAAATGTATGCAGCAGCCAGCAGGAAGAAATACCAGGCAATTCTGGTTAGATGGGGGGGGGGGGGGGGGGGGGTCTGGAGGGGTGTTCGATGTGACCATGTTTCATCTACACCCTGAATGTAGATGTAAAATGCAACATGGTCAGAAACGTAAGCTTAGCTCTGAAGTACAGAATCTGCATGTCTGTGTTTTGGAGCGATGTAATTCAATTTGTTTGCTGAATTCTGCATACAAAGGAAATCATTTCCTGTCCTATGTGCAAGATTTATACATGGCTGACGGTCTTCTGTCAGCGGTGACTTTGATTCCTGAATTCATACAGCACTTTATTCAGATAAAAACAGTATTTATATGACTGTTTGAGGAGTAGCGATATACCTCATGCTGGCTGAATTGTGAATATATGGCAAATGATTTGCTGTGCCTTATATACATTTTTATTACAAGCCATTGAAGTTCATTTAGATCTCATTGTTCAATATTTTCATTTTATATCCAAGCTGATGTATTTCTATAGCTGTGAAGCAGAAAAATATGGCTTTCATTACAATGCCATAGAGGTGCGGATCAATACTTGTTTGTGGTTGTACAAAGTATTGAAACATACTTGGATCCTGCAGTCTTAATTCAATGCAGGTGGAGCTGTACTCTACGTCTGTGTTGTGTTATTTGAACATATGTGGAGAAAAATGTACTCACTGCAAAAGACAAATACGCTTGAAAAAAATGAGGGGAATAAAAGAATGACAGGTGATAAGATGGCTGCATACAGTCAGAGAAAGTATAAACATGGGAGTGAAGACCCAATAGAAGACAGATCATTCTGGAGAAACAATATCCATGTGGTTGCCAGGAGTTGACCTTGATGTAAAGGCACTTAAAGCTGGATTCCCGGCACAAACACTTTAATGCAAATATATCTATCAATAGACACAGGGCCGGCCTTAGGCCTTTAGGCGCCCTGTGCGAGAAAGCTTTACAGCGCCCCTCAGTGGCCACACCCCTCAGTGGCCACACCCATTCCCCCCAATATCCGCACCATTTAAAGACTCCTATTTTGTTAATCCGCAAAGAAACATATTAAAAATAAAACTTTTATTCAAAGGTATTAAACTTGTAGACACAATATAAGTATTCTTATCAAATAAAACAACAGAAGGTAAACAATAAATGTCAAGTTAAAATAGAGTCTATAAAAATAAAGTGTCAGGTTGTCACGCCAATCCCTTTTTTCAAGTAAGTGCATCTAGAAAAGTAAAAATAGAAAACAGAACACAAAACCCGGACTACTTATAAAATGAATGAATTACTATATGTCCAAATATCCGAAAAATGTATTCAGGCGCATAATAATAATAAATTGTTTGAGAATGTGCGGCGGCCATGTTGGCCACCGGCGTGTTTTCTGAATGCTTGCCACCATCTTGGAGGCAGGGAGCATGACGTTACATGACGCCATCCAGGCATCAGGTGACGTCACACGCCGATATTGGCCCCACCAATATCTTGGTGTATACCTAGATATACACCAAGATGGCGGCGCCCAACACGTGCAGTGTTATATGACGTCATGCGCCCCGCCTCCAGAACACGCCAATGGCTGAATCCAAAATAGCATAACATTTGTTTTGTTTGATGAAACGAAGGAACTGTTTTTAGTTTTCGTTCATTTCATCTGAAATTCATTTTTAGTCTTCGCACTTGTCTAATAATGTGTGTGTGTGTGTGTGTGTTTTCTTCCTAGAACATTTTCAGTCCTTCAAATAAAGATTGTTATATGCTGGCCTCAATCATCAATTTCCAGTGTCTCTATATTAAGCGTGAATTAGAAGGAAAAAGGTAATAGATTTTTATTACCTTTTTCCTTCTCTGAGTGAAAGAGT